CGTTACATTCCCGCAGAAGCGATTCCTATTAATCTCCTCACATTTGTATGTTTTCGAACTGCTAGGTTGGCAGAAGCTGGGACTAACAGCGGGAGCTCACCCTGCTCTCCGGATTCGAACCACCAACCTTTTGGTCAGCAAGTTCAGCAGCTTAGCGGTTTAACCCACAGTGCCACCAGGGGGAGAAGGACATTATTCCTTTTTTTATAAGAGTTAAGGTATATTACTTCACACACTGATTCTTGGAGAAGTCATTCCTAGTTTTGGAGATCGATTTATTTATTTTTTTACTAAAATATCTAGGCATACACATGAGTACATACAGAATGTCATTATTTGACAACAATGCCTTTCTGCATTTTACAGAGGACAAAACAGTTTCTACACCAAAGAACAAAAAAATTTTAAACAATTACATTAAAGAAATACTATCCCCAAAGCGGAAGAGAAGGCGTTCATTGTCCTAGGACACATAGATCCAGATAGTAACTTGTGTATTCATTAGACCCTTTTAAAACAGGGAGGGCTATTCTCTTTGCCCAAGAACTGCATTTCCCCTGGCAGCTGTCAAATTTTGGGAAGGATTCCTGCTGCTCCTTCTTACCAGAGGGAAGGGTGCATCAGACCATGAAGACCTGACTGCTCTGAATTCTTCAGTGAAGGAAAGGATGGGTGAACTTCAATTGAGAGTACATTGCCATTTCTCCCCCAAGCAGTTAAGATGAGACTAACTGCTTACTATGATCTGAATTGCTCCCCTAAGCTATTATGTCAAGGGACCCTTCCCAGCATCTGATAACTGCTAAGAGATTGGGGAACATGAAATTGCATGGGAAGAGACACATGTGCCTATCTTAGCCATTGTCTCCAACCTGTAAGTGGCCATTATTTAAGGAAAGGATAGAATCCAGAAGGAAAAAGCTGAACAAAAGGTTTAACTACCATAAACTCATGTAAAAACCAACCTCATGGTGAGGACAAGGGTCATTCATGAATTGGGGAAAAAACATGTATCACATTTTTGAAAGGTACAATATTCATATTGATTCATGGTTTTTTGAACTAATTTTATTCACTAAAAATTTTCAACATATACATCAGTGTTATACGGCATTTATGTCTCAAATAGGAGTAAAGTAAGGGTGGGCAAAGTGTGCCCAATGGACCATTTTTATGGCCCCCAGGTCCTCCAGAAGAAGAAGTCCCAAAATGCCCTCTAGGAGGCACTACAGTCACTTCTGGGAGGCATCTTATTACCTCCAGGGCCCCAATTACACAGCCATATACTGCAGTTTCAGAATGCAGATTAACTGCATTATATGTGTCTACATGACCAAATAATTCACTTCAAACTGTAGATGGGGCCTAGAAACTGCATTTTTTTTAAACAGGAAGTGTTGCTAAATAAAGCAAGTCTCTCTTGAGTCTTAAGTCAGAGGAAATTTAAGACATGGTGAAAATTTTCTCCATGCGTGCTAAGCAATATTGGGGTGAGGAATTAATTATTTTATGTGTTGGAGTGCGCAGCCTCCCAAGGTCTCATTGGAAGCTAAAGTTGTCTACTACAGTTCCCTGCTTCTGGAACAAACGTTTTCTTGCCGTTGCAGGCTTGTTAACTGGCCACTATTTGTCAATTTTCTGCTTACAGTTTTAATATTTTTTATTATTATTTTTTATTACAATCCTGCACTCACTATAGTTCATCGACAGCAGTGTTTCTCAACCTGGGGGTTGGGACCCCTGGTGGGGGGGGGGTCGCAAGGGTGGTTTCAGGGTTGGAGAGTAGCCATATTATCATACACAGTTGCTCCTCCTCAACAGTTTTTGTCCCCAGAGTATATTCCCCACCTGTATGAAGGTCTATATGACCCCGTTCCTTTACGAGTTTCTCCCCCACAAACAATCTGCTCCATCCCTATCTCATCCTGATTTTAGTATTTTTAGTATCTTAGTTTTTATCTTGCACATGCGGCCCGCTCATTGTTATGTTATTTTATTTTACTGTGTATGATTTTGCTTTATCGTCTTTGTACTCATATGTTGTATGTATTTTACTGTGTTGTTATTGTGTTTTGGTTTTACCTTATTGTAATATGCTGTTGGGCTTGGCCTCATGTAAGCCATCCCGAGACCCCATTGGGGAGATGGTGGCGGGGTATTAAATAATGATGATGATGATTATTATTCAGAGGAGTCACCAAAGACCATCAGAAAACACATATATCCGATGGTCTTAGGAACCCCTTCAGCAGAGAAGGCTGAAGGTCTCTCCACCTGTCCTTCTCTTCCTTTTTGGAAACAGACAGCAAATCCTCCCACCAAAAACCCTCCTGCTGCTGTGATTGGCTGGCCTTTCAGCCAAGGGGAGGGCTGTTTCTGAGACTCCAGGTGGGGGAGGGGGGAGAGCAGGCGTGCTCTCCCCTAAATCACTGTCAATTCCTCCCAAATCCCTCCAGTATTTTCTGTTGGTCACGGGGGTTCAGGGTGTGAAGTTTGGCCCAATTCTATCACTGGTGAGGTTCAAGGGACTCTTTGATTGTAGGTGAACTATAACTCCCAGAAACTACAACTCCCAAATGACAAAATCAAATCCCCCCACCCTGCTCAACCCCACCAGTATCCAAATTTGGGAGTATTGGGTATTTGTGCCAAATTTGGTCCAGTGAATGAAAATACATCCTGCGTATCAGATTATGATTCATAACAGTAGCAAAATCACAGTCATGATGCAGCAACAAAAATAATTTTATAGTTGGGGTTGCGGCGTTAGGAAGCTTGAGAATGACTGATCTACAGGCTAACCTCGACATCTTGCTTTCGGAATGGATGAAGAATTTTCATTACCATACTACTTATCTGTGCCAAAATGCATCAAGTGTGGTATAATGGTTATCATACGAAAGCTGACTGGCACAACCTGGGGATCACAACCAGATACAGTGAAGACATCTGCCCTTGCGCTATGCTACTCTGCTGCTGAGTATGCATGCCCAGTGTGGAACACATCTCACCACACTAAAACAGTGGATGTGGCTCTTAATGAGACATGCCGCATTATCACGGGTGTCTGCGCCCTACACCACTGGAGAAATTACACTGCTTAGCCGGTATTGCACCACCTGACATCCGCCGGGAAGTAGCAGCCAATAGTGAAAGGACCAAGGCAGAGACATCTCCAGCTCATCCCCTGTTTGGGTATCAGCCAGCACGTCAACGACTTAAATCTAGACATAGTTTTCTAAGATCTACAGAGACACTCGCTGGAACACCTCAGCAAGCGAGAGTCCAAAAGTGGCAGGCTCAAACCCAGCATTTCAACCAATGGCTGATACCAAATGAGAGACTCCCCCCTGGGCACACAGAAGAAGGGGGCGACTTGGAAGGCATGAACAGACTGCGCTCTGGCACCACGAGATGCAGAGCCAACCTTCAGAAATGGGGCTACAAAGTAGAATCCTCGACATGCGAGTGTGGAGAAGAGCAAACCACTGACCACCTGCTGCAATGCAACCTGAGCCCTGCCACATGCACAATGGAGGACCTTCTTGCAGCAACACCGGAAGCACTCCAAGTGGCCAGATACTGGTCAAAGGACATTTAACCAGCTACCAAACTCACAAGTTGTGTATTTTCTGTTTGTTTGCTTTGTTCTGTTAGAAATGTAATATAATGGACTGGCTGCTCTGACACGACAAATAAATAGTATAATGGTTTAAGTGTGGGACTAGGATTCTGGGAAACAGAGTACAAATGCCTGCTCAGCCAAAGAAGGTCAAATCACACCCAGCCTAAGGAGAAAGCAATGGCAAACCTCCTCTGAAGAGATCCTGTTAAAAAACCCTATGAGAAGTTAATGGCAACTTGAAGTCTCCTAACAGCAACAATATATATGATGTCCTTCTTGCTTCTCAAACACTGAACAGATGCCAAGGGTACAAATGCTGATGCTTCTCCGAACGATGCTTGTTTAACAATTATTGACTGTGCCAGAATACATATGTATATACATGCTCCAAAGAGGCAACATCATGTATCTAATAAAATGAGGCATGGTAATTAAATGTGGTACTCTAACTCTACAGTGTAGATGCACCTCAGATTTCTGGTAAATCAAAAGAAATTTGTCTGCCACCCAATCAACTCAGTTTTAAAGATGACCACTGCAAAATAGAAAGCTGTGCATTCTTATATGTTTTCTGCCAATTATATACATGGATCTATTTTGTGTAGACAATAAGAAGAAGAACAGAAAACAATAACAATGGTAAGTAGAAAACCAAGCAGCAAGAATAACTTCGGTTTAAGCAGACCAAGGAGGGATGTGTCATCTGGTACAAATTCATACATTTCAAGCCCATCTTTCCCAAACCAAAGCCCGTAATACAACACTCAAAATAGAAAACAAAAAAGGAATACATAATGTTTAACTACAAGTTCAATTTCACTAATTATCTTTTGTAACATTTGAGTTCACCATTCTAAGGTGATTCACACATTTTACTGTTCTAAATTCAGACCCAATACACACTTCAAAAAGCAATAATGCCTCTGTGTAAATTTAACTTTGCAGGTAGCACAGCATGTGAAAGTACAGATGAGACACTTTGAAAAATTGTAGCAACCACCTAATTAAGGTACCTGTTTCATAATGTGGAACTGTCAAGTTGCTAAAGAATGGACACACATAACCAAAACACAGAACATTTGTTTTAGGAACAAAGCAGTGGTTGTTCCAAATCTGCAAAACTACCTGCATCTTTCTAACATGACACCACTGATGGATCATCATGTCGTAACTAAACTTGATTTAGTACAGCACTTAAAAGGAACTGGAAACCATTGTAGTGGCTGGGGTATTTTCAGAAGCCAAACAGTGGTTGAGCACTAATGCATATACTGTCAAAACAATAGGCAATGAAGTTTGTACTGCAAAGAGCACACTGTGTATGGAAACAACCCATAACTGAGCACTTATGATCTGTGCTAACTATAAACCAGACCTGCTAAATTCAGAATGTCCCACGTGGTCCCCTTGGGGAAGAATTTCTTCATGTTTATGGCCCACTGGTAATCACTCCACCTTTCTTTCCAAGCATGGAGGATGGCTTGCTTGAGGTTGACCACTTTCATCATCTTCTTATCCTGTTAAGAAAAAGGAAAACTTGACACAGCAACTCTATCATGTATCCCTATCATTCTTTCAAGACTCCAGTTTGATAAACAAATCTACATCATGGCTCATGTCCAGACTATTTGGCAAATCCTATCTCCCTATATCGGTAGTTCCCAACCTGTGGTCCACGGACCACCAATGGTTCACAAGAATGAAAATATAGTCCACAGCCTCACCATTACTACACTGTTGCCTCGAAACCATGCAGCAATGAGAGTGACTGGTCTTGCAAAACACTCTTATAGTGCCAAGGCAACAGGGATGTCGAGAGGGAAGAGGCTGACTACCCACAAAAGATTACTACTGCCAAATCAGCTCTAAATCTTTAAATATGGTTTTCTGTGGGCAAGCAGATGGCGACTACTGGATGGCATATGTTCTGTATCAGAAACCAGACCTGATGTGGTCTATCCAATGCAATGTTTTGAATCAGCACCTCAAATAACCAAATAGAATCTAAAGTTGACCAAAAACTGATTCATAACTCTTATGTTACTAATATTGGTGAGTGGTCCCTCGTCAACATGGTCCCTGGTCAAAAAAAGTTGGGTACCACTGCCCTATATAAACTAGACTGAGCTCCAAGATCATCAAGAGAGGTCCTTTTTTCAGTCACACCACCATCACAAGCCTGGGTGGCAAGGATGAAAGAAAAGGCCTTCTCAGTGGCCAGAATGGTTTCCTTCCTGGTTTTTTGTTTGTTTGTTTGTTTGTTTTTGCAGGCTAAAACTTTTATTCAGACAGAATTTTTAAAATTCAGAATGCTGTTAGAAAATGGGTTGAGGGTGCTACATTGTTTTACCCTAAGCTATTTTATTTATTTTAATTTTATTTTATTTACAGTATTTATATTCCACCCTTCTCACCCTGCAGGGGACTCAGGGCAGATTACAACGGGCATATACATGGCAAACATTCAATGCCATAGACACACAACATATATAGACAGACACTCAGAGGCTATTAACATTTCAGCTTCGGGCCACCAGGGGAGCTGTTGCTTCCTCATTCTTTGCATATTTCCTGGAGATTTTTATGGCCTCGTAAATCAGTTAAATTAGCCTCCCCACAAAGTGGCACCTAATTTTCCTACTTGACAGATGCAACTGTCTTTCGGGCTGCAAAGGTCGACAACTAGCTACACAATTTTGGTCGGGAGCTCACTCCAACCCAGGTTGGCTTCGACCTCATGACCTTTCGGTCAGTAGTGATCTTAACCTTAATGCAGCTGACTCCCAGCCAGCTGTGCTACAATCCCGCTTTTTATTTTTAACTACATATTAACTGAATTGATTTATTAATTGTAACACTGGTCTGTGGTTATTAAGGTCCAAGGAAGGCCTTTTCAGTAACTACTATTTCTTTTAAACAAAATTGCAACTTCCCCTCCCTGAGAGATGTATTAATCATTTATTACATTTGAAATCGTATTGCATCTCTCCTCAAGAGGGGTAGTGATCAAGAAAGCACATCTTCTCTTTAGAAATGTCTAGAATGCTTGGAGGAAAATGACCACAGAGTCACACTGGAAGTTCCAGAGATTCCTAGAGAGAATAAAATCCTCAGATACTCAAATTTGCAGATGTCTAAACCACAAATGTGAAGGGACAACTATGTTTTATGATTTACTTTTTGTATATGTTTAAATGTAGTGCTTTTAAAACTGTAAGCCCTTTTGTGTCCCAAACATGAAAAAATTGGGGGTAAAAATAAATAATAACAACAAAAACAATAATAGTCTTCAAAATGTATCTCTCATTTTGCTAAAAAAAATACATTCTCAATGCCAACCATGCAATTTGTGACTACCTGTGGATTTGGGAAGAGGTTCCCAACACCAATATCCAAACTTATCTCTTGCATTATACAACATGCCGTATATAGTTTAAATCAGTGGTTCTCAACCTGTGGGTCCCCAGGTGTTTTGGCCTACAACTCCCAGAAATCTCAGCCAGTTTACCAGTTGTTAGGATTTCTGGGAGTTGAAGGCCAAAACATATGGAGACCCACAGGTTGAGAACCACTGTTTTAAATATTCAAATGTGAATATTTAATTATGGTTTCTGAAAACCTAGGAATTAGCGAAACCCAGAACTTATTCAACAGGCCAGCACAAAGTCACATTTTCCATTTCAACTTCTCAAGACAACATCTTAAAGTATATGTTGGTGATAGGACTTTTACCTTGCTCACATTGAAAAGCATTCAGAGTCAATTAAAAGTGCTGTCATGCCCAGCACTTTTAATTTTAATTTTAATTATTACACTTGGCCCGGCCATTGTTTTTAATTGCGTCATTGGATGTTGTTTAATGTTATTGCTTTGTTGTTTAATGTTATTGCTTTGTTTTTTGAGTTATTGTGTTGTTGTTGTTGCTGCTGTTTTAATTGTTGTATTTGGGCTCGGCCTCTTGTAAGCCGCACCGAGTCCTTCGGGAGATGCTAGCGGGGTACAAATAAAGGATTATTATTATTATTATTATTATTATTATTATTATATATGAATTTAAGTACATTTCTCCTTTAGCCAGGGCTCTATCATTAATGTACATTTCATTATGCACACAAACAAAAACTTTCTCAAGTTTCACAAAATATGTCACAATTCTGCAGGAACCATTCTGTGTTTTGCTGGTTATTTTCTCTTATCCCAGGAGAAGAAGATGGCCTTTCAGATGCTGTGGAACTGCAATTCCCAACATCCCTACCTGGAACAACCAATGGCAAAGAATGCAAGAAATTGTAGTTCAATAAAAACTCCCATTACTATGAGTCATTTACCTATTTATGCCACATGATTCTGATTCCTATCTGTGATAAATCAGAAAACCCACTGTGTCTAACAGGACTTCCTCCTTAGATTGCAATCTGAATGAGGATTGATACAAATAATAGCATGGCATGCATGAAGACATACATTCCTTTGCCATTAGAATGCTCTTTACATAGGACCATTATTTTGGATTTTTCAACTACCCAAATAAATAAAAAATAGTTCTTTGAATCTCATGTACTCATACAAAAACACACAGCAAATCTAAAACAGCTAATCAATTAGGATTAGTAGATCCTGTGCTCTTCCTTTTTGAATGATGGAGCGTATCATTTCTTGAAAATTAATGGGTAGTACAGGAAGTGAGGAACTGAATTCCTTGTTTACAGTTCAAGTCTAGGAAAGAAGCACAGTTTACTACGCCTGTGATTTCTAATGGGTTTATTAGTACAAAGTAGAACTGAGTAACACATTTGTAAACCAATTCTTTCTAATTTATAGGTCAGATCTGAGTAACTTAGGACCAGAAACGAACTTGTGAAAACTGGATCTGTTGGACATGCTGCATCATGCAGAGATGTAGAGTGGAATTTTTTGCAAAATGGAAAATTTCCAGTGCTTTACTTTGCCTTGGAAAATTTCCAATTCCTCTACAAACAGTGACATATACATTCATTCATAGTTGTCTGGGCTGCTGTACTGAAATCAATCAAGTTAGATGGACTAACTATAGGATATGAACTTCCAATTATTCCTCCCTCCACAGAACCAAGTCTTGACAAGTCTGATGCTTAGAGGAATAAACTAGCAAATGGAAACATTGCAAAGTTTGTTTCTATTTCGCAAAACTTCCTATATCCCAAACAGTCAAGACAAAGTGTAAAAGGTTGCCTGTGACCGCAGATTCTCATCCAGCCTTTAGTAAGATAAAATGTTCAACAAGTTGAATTAAATCAGACGTTTCTCAATATGAAAATGCTAAAGTGATATCTCTGCAATTGTGGATGTAAGATATATCTGTTTCGGTTCTCTGCAGCGTTGTTTTGGAAACTTTGGCTGTTTGTACATATTGCACTTATCATTGTAAACTCCGCAAGCAACTTTCATTGAAAACTACAGTACAACTCCCATATCCAGAGGGATACATTCCTGGGCTTCAGGTGGAAACAAAACTGGTGGAATCATACCATAGAATGGTACTGGAGGGCCTAAAAATGCCTCAAGATAACACCTCTATAGCACTTTTAGGTCCTCCAAAGCAACTAGTGTCAACTTCTAGCACAGTGGTTCTCAACCTGTGGGTCCCCGGATGTTTTGGCCTTCAACTCCCAGAAATCCCAACAGCTGGTAAAATGGCTGGGATTTCTGAGAGTTGTAGGCCAAAACACCCGGGGACCCACAGGTTGAGAACCAATGTTCTAGCAGAAGCCTACCACAGAATCATGATGGAGTATGTTTTTGGACATAAGCAAGTGGAACCTCAGCTATTTGTCCAGTGCATAAGGGAGCCCTACTTATATGCTGTATCTGTTTCATTATTACCGGTACTCCTATTCCAATGGGAAAAAAAATCCACATAACATAGCGCCATAGCAGTTAAAGTGATGTCAAGTTGCATTAATTTGACTGCAAATGTAGGCTGAGAGGCTACATATCTCCTACCACCGGTTTCTTGAAAGCTAATTTCATCTGGATCATATGCTTACAAGGAATCTTACAAAATAGAAAAAAAAATATTAGACTATGGAGACCTAAGGGCTGACACTCAGGACCCTTTCACACCACCATATAACCCAGAATATAAAGGCGGAAAATCCCAAAATATTTGCTTTGAACTGGGTTAGAGAGAAGGATATTAGAGGCAAAGATGAAGTACTTTGGCCACATAATGAGAAGACAGGAATGCTTGGAGAAGATAATGATGCTGGGGAAAATGAAAGGAGAAAGGAAGAGGGGCCAACCAAGGACCAGATGGATGGATGGTATCCTTGAAGTGACTGGCTTGACTTTAACAATGTGATGTGGCGGCAAAAAAAGCCAATGGGATTTTGGCCTGCATCAATAGGAGCATAGTGTCTAGATCTAGGGAAGTAATGCTATCCCTCTATTCCGCTTTGGTTAGACCACACCTGGAATATTGTGTCCAATTCTGGGCACCACAATTCAAGAGAGATATTGACAAGCTGGAATGTGTCCAGAGGAGGGCGACTAAAATGATCAAGGGTCTGGAGAACAAGCCCTATGAGGAGCAGCTTAAGGAGCTGGCCATGTTTAGCCTGAAGAAGAGAAGGCTGAGAGGAGATATGATAGCCATGTATAAATATGTGAGAGGAAGCCACAGGGAGGAGGGAGCAAGCTTGTTTTCTGCTTCCTTGGAGACTAGGACGCGGAACAATGGCTTCAAACTACAAGAGAGGAGATTCCATCTGAACATGAGGAAGAACTTCCTGACTGTGAGAGTCGTTCAGCAGTGGAACTCTCTGCCCCGGAGTGTGGTGGAGGCTCCTTCTTTGGAAGCTTTTAAACAGAGGCTGGATGGCCATCTGTCAGGGGTGATTTGAATGCAATATTCCTGCTTCTTGGCAGGGTGTCGGACTGGATGGCCCATGAGGTCTCTTCCAACTCTTTGATTCTATGAAGGAGCTGGGGGTGGCCACAGCCAATAGGGAGCTCTGGAGTGCTGGTCCATGAGGTCACGAAGAGTCAGAAGCAACTGAACAAATAAACAACAAGTGTTTTCTGAGTCCACACTGCCTTATATTCCAGTTCAAAGCAGAAAATGGGGGGTTTTATTCAGCTATGTAGAAGGAGCCTCAGTATACATCTACACTGTGGAACTGATGCTGTCTGACACCACTCAAATGTAATGGAATGATGGGAAGTGTAATTTCACAAGGTCATTCACCCACTCTGCCAAAGGGTGTTGGGCTTTCACCAAATCACAATTCCCAGAATTCCACAGCATTCATCCAAGGCAGTTAAACTAGTATCTAACTGCATTAAGAGTATGGAAAGAAAAGGGGAAAAACATTATTTAGTATCACATAAAACTCACTGTGGTAGTTAGGTTGCAATATCATACAATCATATTTAGAAAGCCCAATTTAAGGTGCAGGTGCTTACCTACAAAGCCCTAAACGGTTTGGGACCATCCTACCTGTGTGACCGCATCTCCATTTATGAACCCACGCACACACTTTGTTCATTCGGAGAGGCCCTGCTCGTGATTCCGCCTGCGTTGCAGACGCATTTGGTGGGGACGCGAGACAGGGCCTTTTCTGTGGTGGCCCCCCGACTCTGGAACACCCTCCCCAAAGATCTTAGACAGGCCCCTACATTGGCAGTCTTTAGAAAGAACTTGAAGACCTGGCTGTTCCGATGTGCCTTTCCAGAATAGGAAATCTCCAATACCAAGTCCCAGAAGCACTTTATTAGAACTAAGATTACTGCACACCGCACGCTGCACTTACCCTATAATCCTTACATATCACCTGTCACATCAGCACTTTTAATTCTGTACCCATTACTCTTGCCCGGCCCAGTTTTATTGTGTTTTGGTGTATTGTTTATTGCTTGTTGTTTAATATTGCTTTAATTGTTTTTAATTTGCTTTAGGTTTGTATTGTTATGTTGTGTTTTGAGGCCTTGGCCTTGTAAGCCGCATCGAGTCCTTCGGGAGATGCTAGCGGGGTACAAATAAAGTTAATAATAATAATAATAATAATAATAATAATAGAAAATGCCTTGTTTTTGAATAGACATGTAGAACTGCTCTGGCAAAGTTTACATTTTACATTAAATTTAAGTTACATCGTTAGACCATGTGGATTCTAGTAAAACAAACTCCTTGCAAGGTCACCGATAAAGTGAACAAAACCCAAGAGGTCCCTTCTACACTACCATATAATCCAGATTATCAAAGCAAATAATACACATTATCTGCTTTGAACTGGATTATCCGAGTCTACACTGCAATATAATCCTGTTGAAAACAGAGAATCTGGATTTTATCTGGCAGTGTAGAAGGGGCAGACATAATAGCCAAAGGGGGTTTGGTTATTATAGTGGGAAAAAACTGGGGATTCTTCATTGTTTTCCTTTGGTCCACTTACCTATTCCTTTCCCTATACAAAGAAACACACGCCTCTCAGTTCCTGGATTCCGCCATCTTCCCACTTCGCAAAGAGCCGTACGCTGATTGGCTGGCAGCGATCCCTGAAGCGCAAGGGCTGGTGGGAGATGTAGTTTATTTGAATCCAATGGAGTGTAATGGGTTTTTTGAAGGAATTATTCTATTTGAGGGAGAAAAAGAACTTAATGGAAAGGCCATAATAATACCAAGGAGCACAGCTACATTCTGCTTACTATAATGAACTCACACAAACTAAAGTAATAAATAAAGAAAATAAATCTGCAAACTCCATACTAACTATCCTTTATTATGTGAATACTTTTAAATGAGATTATATATATATACACACACACACACACACAATTTTATACATACATACATACCCTGTGGTGCAGTGGGTTAAACCACTGAGCTGCTCAACTTGTTGACCGAAAGGTCGCAGGTTCAAATCCAGGGAGCAGGGTGAGCTCCCGCTGTTAGTCCCAGCTTCTGCCAACCTAGCAGTTCAAAAACATGCAAATGTGAGTAGATCAATAGGTATCGCTCTGACGGGAAGGTAACGGTGTGCCTTGCAGTCATGCCGGCCACTTGACCTAGGAGATGTCTAAGGACAATGCCGGCTCTTCGGCTTAGAAATGGAGATGAGCACCACACCCCAGAGTCGGACATGACTGGACTTAATGTCAGGGAAAAACCTTTACCTTTACTTTTACCTTACCTTCCTCTTATATATATATATATATAGAGAGAGAGAGAGAGAGAGAGAGAGAAACCTCTCGGCTAATCAGCACCCAAGGGGATTGGTAGATATCAAATAAATGTAATTTCTGCTTGCTTGAGAGTTACTATTAAAATTGACCTAATACTACATCCCATACTATGCCATACCATAAGCTCTGTATTGACTTGATATTGATATTGAAATATAGTCATTGAAATCAGAAAAAGACAAACGTAATGTAACACAGTTTTACCGTTTTACTGTATCACACTTTTAAAATGTACATAATAATAAAAGGAAGAATAATTTTATTTTTTACCCGTCTCGCCTCGGGTTAAAGAATAATTGGAACACATTGTTTTGTTGTTCATTCGTTCAGTCGTCTCCGACTCTTCGTGACCTCAAGGACCAGCCCACGCCAGAGCTCCCTGTCAGCCGTGCCCACCCTCAGCTCCTTCAAGGTCAAGCCAGTCACTTCAAGAATAACATCCATCCATCTTGCCCTTGGTCTGTCCCTCTTCCTTTTTCCTTCCATTTTCCCCAGTATCACTGTTTTCTCCAAGATTTCCTTTCTTCTCATGATGTGGCCAAAGTATTCCATCTTTGCGTCTAATATTCTTCCCTCCAATGAGCAGTTGGGCTTTATTTCCTGAATTATGGACTGGTTGGATTTTCTCGCAGACCAAGGCACTCTCAGAATTTTCCTTCAACAACAGAGTTCAACAGCGTCTATCTTCCTTCACTCAGCCTTCCTTATGGTCCAGCTCTCACATCCATAGGTTACTACGGGAAATATCACTGCTTTAACTATGCAGACCTTAGTTGTCAGTGTAATGTTTCTACTCTTCACTAATTCATTGAGACTGGTGATTGCTCCCCTCCGAAGAAGTAAATGTCTTCTGATTTCCTGGCTGCAGTCTGCGTCTGCATCTGCAGTAATCTTTGCACCTAGAAATACAAAGTCTGTCACTCCTTCCACGTTTTCTCCCTCTATTTGCCAGTTGTCAATCAGTCTGACTGCCATAAACTTGGTTTTTTGATGTTTCACTGCAACCCAGCTTTTGCACTTTTCTCTTTCACCTTGATTAGAAGGCTCCTCAGCTCCTCCTCGCTTTCAGCCATCAAAGTGGTATCATCTGCATATCTAAGGTTGTTAATGTTTCGTCTGGCAATTTTAACTCCAGCCTTGGATTCATCAAGCCCCACACGTCACAGGATGTGTTCTGCATACAAGATGAATAGGTAAACATTGTAAAAATACCACTGATACACATACTAAAATGTATTTCTATAATAGATACATAATTTAAATGTAAAGTATTATTTCTTTTTTTTAAAAAAAATGCCAGTTGCTTGAGTTGCAGGGCCCTTCCAGACAGGTCCTATATCCCAGGATCTGATCCCAGGTTTTCTGCTTTAAACTGGATTATATGAGTCTGCATGGAGCCCCCGGTGGGTTAAAGAGCTGAGCTGCTGGACTTGCTGACCGAAAGGTTGGTGGTTCGAATCCAGGGGGCGGAGTGTGCTCCTCCTGTTAACCCCAGCTTCTGCCAACCTAGCAGTTCGAAAACATGCAAATGTGAGTAGATCAATAGGAAGGCAACAGCACTCCATGCAGTCATGCTAGTCTATTCGGCTTAGAAATTGAGATGAGCACCACCCCCAGAGTTGCACACGACTAGACTTAATGTCAAGGGGAAAGCGTCACCTCATATGTGCCTGCACTGCTAGATAATCTGGGATAAACAGAAAACCTGGGATCCGATCCTGGGTTATAGGGCAGGTCTTGAAGGGCCCCCAGTTAATGGAGGTCCCTTCCACAGGGCTGTATAAAATCCACATTGAACTGGATTATATGGCAATGTGAACTCTGATAATCCAGTTCAAAGTAGATACTGTGGATTAAATTTGCAAAGGAATATTTGCAAAGAAGAGTTTATTAGAGGCTTCTAAAAAAAATAAGAGTCAAAGTTAAGGAAGAACACTTAAACCAACTGATATGGCATAATACAACCTAAAGAACATAATCACGGAATTTAAAGATAATGTAAAAATAGATTTTGTACAACTAAGCCTATTTGACTAGGAGCCAGAAGAACTCTGGACTGAATCCAGAGTGGAAAAGACAAGAGGAGGAGGGGGGGGGGAGAAATAATATCTGAATCCAAAAAGAAAGAAAGAGAAGCCTTAACACAACTCTTTATCAACGGATATATATGTAACTCTTCAAGCAGTTAAGGACAAACATGGAGCAAAGTAAAAGGCAACAAGTAATAGAGTCAAAACCATGAATGTAACTGTTAATTTATTTATTTTTTGTCGTGTCAGGAGCGACTTGAGAAACTGCAAGTCGCTTCTGGTGTGAGAGAATTGGCCGTCTGCAAGGACGTTGCCCAGGGGACACCCGGATGATTTGATGTTTTTATCATCCTTGTGGGAGGCTTCTCTCATGTCCCCGCATGAGGAGCTGGAGTTGATAGAGGGAGCTCATCCGCCTCTCCCCGGATTCGAACCTGCGACCTGTCAGTCTTCTGTCCTGCCGGCACAGGGGTTTAACCCACTGCGCCACAGGGGGCTCCAGCTGTTAAATTACTTGTGTACAAAGACAAGGAGAACTACTATCATAATCAATGCAAATAAATAAAAGGTAACAACAAAACAGGAAGCCCATGAGACCTAGTCTACAAGATATAAGAGTTAAAGGGAAATTTAAACCAAGATTAGGGGTGCTCTATAACCAGAAGAGGAACGCATTATATGACCAAGAAAAAACGAAAAGATAATGGAGACAATATACTGCTGGATTATATAAAAGAGATGAAAGGATGGCAGATTTATTCAATGAAGAACATTTGGTATTTGATCTTACACTTTTAGAAAGAAGAATTGAAGCTACTTTCAAGACACTTTGGGCCCTTCCACACAGCCATATAATCCAGTGCCTTTCCACACAGTCCTATAACCCAGAATATCAAGTCAGAAAATCCCACATTATCTAAGTGTGAACTTTGATAACCCAGTTCAAAGCAGATATTGTGAAATTTTCTGCCTTGATATGCTGTATCAGGCTGTGTGGAAGGGCCCCCAAAATATCAAGGAAGATAATCCACAATATCGGCTTTGAACTGGATTATCTTAGTCCACACTTCCAGATAATTCAGTTCAATGTGGATTTTATATAGCTGTTTGGAAGGGGTATTGGAAGAAATTAATCACCAGGAACAAATTATATGCCCAGAGACCTGCTTCAGACTAAGAGAAATAATATACTGGCTAAGAGAAAGAATATATAATCATGCTAACAAAAATCTGACAAAAAAATATGAAAAACAAAGCAATGGCTCACAGATTGTAAATATTAAATATTCCTTTCAATTTCCAAGAAAGGGGACACTGGTGAGTACCATAACTGTAGGACCTTTGCATTAATTTCCCATGTAAGCAAAATAAAATTATTCAACACAACCTTTTACCAGAAATTAAACAAGAAATTCCAGAAGTCCAAGCAGGGTGTTCAGAAAAGGAAGAGCTACTAAGGATCACATTCCATACCTATGCGAGAGAATGAAACACACAAACAAATTTCAGGAAAAGCCTCTGATTTATAGATTATAGCAAAGACTTAGATTGTGTTGATCAGGGGTCCTCAAACTAAGGCCCAGGGGCCGGATACGGTCCTTCAAGGTCATTTACCCGGCCCTCACACAGGGTCAACCTAAGTCTGAAACTACTTGAAAGCACACAACAACAACAATCC